TCCCCAATTCTTTCATTGCATGAAATCTCAAACCTACCAAATGTGACTACCTCCATGAGTTCCAAACCCTAATATTTTGGCAACAGAAGGCAAAATCATCCCCAAATGTCCCTGCTGTGTCTTCTTCCCCATTAAACCTAAGTGGGTTTGGCCTCATTGATGAGAATTGCATGTGGAATAATGAAACAACAATGGAGATTCAGCCCCAGCCTCAGAATGAGATCTATGAGTTGAATTGAGAAACCTAGGGCAAACAACAACATGAGCACATCATTTGATAGATCTTATTTCGATTTGATTTTGATTTGTGGAGTCAAACAGCAATGCCTTGTGAATGTATAGTAACCTTAGTGCCATACACTAATTTGCACGGTTGTTAATTAATAGGGCTTCAATTTTTTTTTTTTTTTTTTTTTAAGCTTTGTTGTCCGTACTTGGCCATCTCGCCACCTTGTTAAATGTTATAACGTTGTGTTGTCTTATATTGTTTTTCTCTGCTTATTTGATTGGTTCTTGTTAGTTAATTACTTTGTTACTTAATGTGGAGAAGTAAAAAACAAGAAGCACTTTAAATTGTTGGGGTTTTACGGAAATAGCCACATGTGAAAGGGTTCTTTAGAGAAGTGTCAAACTTTCACATCCACTTTATAAAACTCTTAATTTAATAAGGGTCCACAAGGAAAATTAACCCATTTGCTTTCCCCTGGGTTGATGACCCATGGTAAGGGGGATTGATTAATGTGTAAATGGTAAAATTTGTGTACATTTTAGTATGAGTTTGATTGTCCATGTCGATGTATAAGTCTTATATTTAAATTTATATACATGTGTGGTGGGATTAACATTTGTTCAATCGTTGTCTCTTTATCAATTTCAATTAACGATATTAGATACAATCTTCCCAACAAAAAAAAAAAAAAAAAGTGCTTTTACTTAAGTGTGCTACACAAAAAAGTAGTACCAAACCATAAAGAGTCCATTGCAGAATGAGTGTTACCTCTTTGTTATACTTATTTACATTATTGTGGGTTTCATTGTTCGTCATTGTAAAATTATCTTAAATTTAAATGGTATGCATGAGTCTTAGGTCACTTTGTTCGGTATTTGTCTCTTTGTTATATTACTTCAATTACCCACATTAGGTACTCAATACCAAAAGTCAGGTGTTGAGGAGATTTATCCTTGTATTTAAAAGAAATGTCATTGCTTGTGTATGTTAATTATACTTACATTAAGAAAGCATTGCTACTTAACCCATAAGGGACAAATAGAGAATCAGTGAAAAACCATTCCCAACTAGGGGTGTTCAAAACTGTTGACCGTTTTCTTAAACAATTGGTTTCAACCGGTTTCCCCCTAAGGCTTAAATTAATTATATATATTTTTTTAAATTTTTCTAATTTAAATTGTAAATATCACATACATATCCAAATAAAAATTATATTTATATATATGTAAAGGGAATTTAGGTTTAGGGAATTTATATAATATATATATATATATTATATTATAATATAGTAAATTGGTTAGTAAAACCGGTTTGCATTTTCTCCCAAACCGGTAATCGAACCAAAAATGCGGTTTTTCAATTTCTATACCCGAAACCAAACTGATTTTTCGGTTAACTGAAACTTCGGTTCAGTATTGGTTCAGTTCGGTTTTTGTATTTTTTTTAACACCCCTAATCCAACCATTTACATTAAAGTTGGGTTCGGTTGCAATTACGTAGTTCATAACAATCCATTAATTTATATGAATTTAAAAAATTCAAATTTTTTAATATAATTATTTAATTACTTAATAATTGATCAAAACTTTTTTAAATAATTATTTAAGAAATGAAGTGAGGTTTTATTATAGGATTTGATTTTTTAGTTCAATTTAAAATTTGGATACTGTACAGGAATTTTGGGAAGTTTTTGTTTTGTGTTTTTTATCCTTTTATTAAAAAAGAAAAAAGAAAAGCTCGTTAAACTTAGATATTACAATTTTAACATTAAAAGCGGGTCATTATCGACATTATAAACAATTGGGCCTTACAATAACTGTTTCGGCCGAACCCAAAAGATACAACCTTAACATCGTCATGGATTGACCCAAGATCTAACTCTTAGGGTTTTTAAAAAGAACAAAAATTTAAGGAGCCTACAAAATTAACCAAACCCATTCTTTAAATTAAAAACCCTTTCTTTTACAACTCAATTTCCAAAAAGAGCAATAATATTCATTCCAAAATTTCACTTCTCCAATGATTTGTCATCATATATGCATCAACATATTTACATGTCAATGCCACACATGATAACACGGAACATTAAGTATAAAATAAATTTTAAGATAAGTAATATATTATTCCAAAAACATTATTATTTTTTATTATTTTTCAAGACTACTAATATATTAAAATTCTTAAACCATATAATTGCATTATATAGATATTACAAGTGATTTAAAAAAAAAAAAGTATCCGTTTGTTTAATTATTTTTCCCTATCCTATTAATATTATTTCTAAAATACACGTTTTGTTTCCCTATTCTGAAAATACTATTATATTTTATTTAACTATTTTAAACCCCTAAGTTTATTAATTTAACTAAACACTCCTCGAAAAAAAAGTTTAGAAATTGACAAAAACACCGCCACCCACCCACATTTGTCAGATTCTGGCCATCACCGCTGGAAGGTGGCCGGAATCTAGTATAATGGCACACTACCGATTGGATCTGGCCAGTAGTGTATCGATCTATCATTTACCGACCAAATCCACCGTGGATTTGGTCAGAAAAAGCTAGATCTACGGCTAAAGATCTGGTCATTGATGGCTAGATCTTTGGCCATAACTGGTCTTCAATGACGGCCAAGAGATGGTCGTCGTTGATGGGACATGGTCGTCATTGACCATCAACGATAACCATCTCTTTGGCCATCGTTGACAACCAAACATGGCCAGATCTGGCATTTTTCGGCCAGATCCACAGTGGATCTAGTTGGAAAAGGCCATCTCGCCACACGACTGGCCATATCCAACCAATCGTGTGCTGTAACATCAGATTCCAGCCAGATTCCTGGCAACTGTGTGTGATGGGGGTGTTTTTGTCATTTTATAAAATTTTTATATATTGGGGTGTTTAGTAAATTAGCAAACCTAAGGGGTTTTTTTTGTTAATTTTTTAAATTCAACCTCGCAATAATCACCCAACTCTATCTAGCAATAATATTTCAAAAGAGTAATGCTACACTTACAAAAAAATCTTACAAAGATCTTCATACAAAGTGATGTAGCAAAAAATGAATGGAAGAATGAATATAATGAGTTTGACTTTTCTATTTATTTTTTACCACCTCACTTAATATGAAAATCTTTGTAAGTATAGTATTATTGATTTTAAAAATACTACTTAGAATAATAAAACAAACACATAACCCTATTAGTTGCGTTACTTCTATCAACACTTGATGGATGCATAAATTGTTATTTGAGAAACTTGAAAGGGAAAATTTTAATTTAAGAAACCTTAGGGGAAAATATCAACTCTTTNGATGTTGTCAACCAACGGTGGTTGGATTTTAAAAAATATTGAAATGTCTTCATCTTAAACTTTTCATATATGTTTTTATATAGAGAGAGAGAATAAAAATAATTAATATTATACATATAAACTTTGTATACACACAAAATTAATGAAAGAATGAAAATAAAATAAATTATAAATGGTTGATATATAAAAATAAAAAGTAATGTGGTGTTAATTTGTATAAATCCAATTTGTGTCTGAAACATTTCTCAAATTAATTATACGGCTAATTGCCAATAGTTAGAGTGGTTAATTCAGTATTATTTTAGACACATTATTAGATTCTCGAATATAAGAATGCGACCTCTTTCATCCAAAATTATGCAAGAATAAAATAAACTTGAAACTATATAATTATGTAGTTAGTTTGATAAAATAATATAAACATCAATTTCAATTGGTATATAGACAAGAAAACTTTAACTAGATCTAATTAAATAATGAACTAACAATCAGCTCAAGTATGTAAAAAATAAGGTTTAAGAAGTTATCATTAATTATTGGTTACTTGTTTAAGTATGCTTGTAATTTTATGTTATGAAAATGTGCAACTCGCGGTAGACACCACAGTCATCTTTAAATCTCTGTTAAAAATATTAACAATTAGGGTGTTAATTACTATTAATTAGAGTGAAAAAATATTCATACTTGACCTACTTAAGACCTTATAAGTTTTAACTAGGGGTGGGCAAAAAAATAAGGTAGAACAGGAACCGGGAGGTACTCAGGGTTTTGGTTTTAGTTTTAGTTCCTACCTGAAATCGGCCCTCACATGGTTGGTTCTGGTTCTAAAAAATCATAAACCAATACTATGCGGTTTCGATTCCAATTTCGGTTTCACCACTGCAGGTTTTTAGGAACCGAAATTAGTCGGTTTTGATTCTGATTCCGATTCCAAATCCAAGAATCAGTCTATTCCGGTTCCGATTCCATGGGATTTGGGCGGGTATCACCCCAGTTTTAATCAAGAAAATTAATTATTGAAGTAGTTTCACCACTATATTGGTTAAGCTCTTGTTGCTTCTTAAAGGTTATACAGTAGTTTTTGTATTATATACTAATCAATATTGACTTAATTTCAATTAATTAATCAAGATTAAACAAAAAAAAGTAACAATCGAGTTTGAAACAAAAGGTTGAACTGGAACTCTGGAAGCTACCAAAAAAAAAAAAAAACCACTCATTGAAACAAATGGTCCTTTCATGAGTACATGTATTTTTCTTCTTCTTCTTCTTCTTTTCTCTCTCGATCTCTCTCCACGTTTCCCTATCATACATGTATAATGCAGCCAAATTAAGAGATGTTTATAATTCCAAATTTGAAGGAATTTATATGTCTAAAGTACCCCACTCACTAAACGGTGAGCTTTATTTGATAATATCATTGATCATCTTCAAGCTAGAGGATGAGAAGGAACGTTAAAATGGCGCATCACTGCTGCAGCAAACAGAAAGTCAAGAGAGGCCTGTGGTCTCCTGAAGAAGATGAGAAGCTTATCAAATATTTCACCGCTCATGGCCAGGACTCTTGGAGTTCTGTTGCCAAACTCGCAGGTAAAAATCTGCATGGGACTATTGTGACTCAGGTTTTCATTGTAGCTGCGAAATTGTTGCGTCGAGATAAGCCAGAATTCCTATAGTGTCTCTCAGGCGTTGGCATGGGACTATTGTGACGGAGGTTTTCATCATAGCTACAAAATTGTTGCGTCAGAATAGGCCAGAATTCCTGTAGTTAAGTTCTTGGTTTCTTAATTTGGTTACTTTAATTTGTTGTTATGAATAATTTGTAGGGTTACAGAGATGTGGGAAGAGTTGCAGATTGAGATGGATAAACTACTTGAGACCAGATCTGAAAAGGGGTTCATTTACAGAGCAAGAAGAGAGGACTATCATCGATGTTCATAGAATTCATGGCAACAGATGGGCGCAAATAGCGAAGCATTTGCCTGGAAGAACTGACAATGAGGTCAAGAATTTTTGGAACTCATGCATTAAAAAGAAACTTCTTGCTCAAGGGATTGATCCCAACACTCACAATCTCCTCTCTCCTTCTCAATTTTTTCATAACAATACTTCCAACAATATTGTAGCATGCAACACAACAACAAGAAGCAGCAGCTTCTTCCTCCAATGTTCCTCCTAAATTCACAAATGAAAGATAATAATAATCCTTTGTGGAGGCCATGAACTTGAAATCACCATTCTCGTTGATAATAACATTTCCCCCATTCTTTATCATTGCATGAAATCTCAAACCTACCAAATGTTATGACTACCTCTCATGAGTTCCAAAACCCTAATATATTTTGGGCAACAGAAGCGAAATCATCCCCAAAATGTCCCTGCTGTCTCTCTTTTCTCCATTAAACCTAAGTGGGTTTGGCCTCTTGATGAGAATTGCATGTGGAATAATGAAACAACAATGGAGATTCAGCCTGCCAGCCTCAGAATGAGATCTATAAGTTGAAATTGAGAAACCTAATGGCAAAACACAAGATGAGCACTCATTTGATAGATCTTATTTCGATTTTGATTTTGATTTTGTGGAGTCAAACAGCAATGCCTTGTGGAAGGTATAGTAACCTTAGTGCCATACACCAATTTGCACGGATTGTTAATTAATAGGGGCTTCAATTTTTTTTTTTTATTTTTTATTTTTGAAGCTTTGTTGTCCGTACGTGGCCATCTCGACACCTTTTTAAATGTTATAAACAGTTTTGTGATGTCTTGTATAGTTTTTCTCTTGCTTATTTGATTGGTTTCTTGTTAGTTAATTACTTTTGTTACTTAATGATGGAGAAAGTAAAAACAAGAAGCACTTTAAATTGTGGGGGTTTACGGAAATAGCCACATGTGAAGGGTTCTTTAGAGAAGGGTCAAACTTTCACACTCACTTTTATAAAACTCTTAATATTAATAAGGGTCACAAAGAAATAACCCATTTGCTTTCCCCTGGGGTTGATGACCCATGGTAAGGGGGAGATTGATTAATGTGTAAATTGTAAAATTTGTGTACATTTTATATAGTTTGATTGTCCGACGTCGATGTATAAGTCTTATATTTAAATTATTATACATGTGTGGTGGGATTAAACATTTGTTCAATCGTTGTCTCTTTATCATATTTCAATTAACGATATTGATAAATCAATTTTAACGTCAAGAAAACATTCTTCACAACAACACAAAAAAAAAAGTGCTTTTACTTAAGTGTGCACGGTTTACCTACATAAAAAAGTAGTACCAAACCCATAAAAGTCCATTGCAAATGAGTGTTACCCTCTTTGTTATACTTATTTACATGTATGTGGGTTTCATTGTTCGTCATTGTAAAATTAGTCTTAAATTTAAATGGTATGCATGAGTCTTAGGTCGGACATTTGTTCGGTATTTGTCTCTTTGTTATATTACTTCAATTACCCACATTAGGTACTCAATACCAAAAGTCATGTGTTGAGGAGATTTATCCTTGTATTTAAAAGAAATGTCATTTGCTTGTGTATGGTTAATTATACTTACATTAAGATAAGCATTGCTACTTAACCCATAAAGGGACAAACTAGAGAATCAGTGAAAAACCATTTCCAACTAGGGGTGTTCAAAACTGGTTGACCGTTTTCTTGAACCAAACTGGTTTTCAACCGGTTTCCCCCTTAAGGCTTAAATTAATATATATATTTTTTTTAATTTTTCTTGATTTAAATTGTAAATATCAACAATACATATCCAAATAAAAATTAAATATTCATATATATGTAAAGGGAATTTAGGTTTAGGGAATTTTTTTTATATTTTAATTATATATATATATATATTATAATATAGTAAATTGGTTAGTAAAACCGGTTTGCATTTTCTCCCAAACCGGTAATCGAATCAAAAATGCGGTTTTTCAATTTCTATAAACCGAAACCGAACTGATTTTTCGGTTAACTGAAAATTCGGTTCAGTTATTGGTTCAGTTCGGTTTTTGCATTTTTTTTAACACCCCTAATTCCAACCATTTACATTAAAGTTGGGTTCGGTTGCAATTACGTAGTTTACATAACAATCCATTAATTTATATGAATTTAAAAAATTTCAAATTTTTTAATATAATTATTTAATTACATTAATAATTGATCAAAACTTTTTTAAATAATTATTTAAGAAATGAAGTGAGGTTTTATTATATGGAGGTTGAATTTTTTAGTTCAATTTAAAATTTGGATACATGTACAGGAATTTTGGGAAGTTTTTGTTTTGTGTTTTTTATCCTTTTATTAAAAAAAGAAAAAAGAAAAAAGCTCGTTAAACTTAGATACTTACAATATTAACATTAGAAGCTGGTCATTATCGACATTTAATAAACAATTGGGCCTTACAAATAACTATTTAGGCCGAACCCAAAAGATACAACCTTAACATCGTCATGGATTGACCCAAGATCTAACTAGGGTTTTTTAAAAAGAACAAAAATTTAAGGAGCCTACAAAAATTAACCAAAACCCATTCTTTAAATTAAAAACCCTTTCTTTTATAACTCAATTTCCAAAAAGAGCAATAATATTCATTCCAAAATTTCACTTCTCCAATGATTTGTCATCATATATGCATCAACATATTTACATGTCAACACGGAACATTAAGTATAAAATAAATTTTAAGATAAGTAATATATTATTCCAAAAACATTATTATTTTTTATTATTTTTCAAGACTACTAATATATTAAAATTCTTAAACCATATAATTGCATTATATAGATATTACAAGTGATTTAAAAAAAAAAAAGTATCCGTTTGTTTAATTATTTTTCCCTATCCTGTTAATATTATTTCCAAAATACACGTTTTGTTTCCCTATTATGAAAATACTATTATATTTTATTTAACTATTTTAAACCCCTAAGTTTATTAATTTAACTAAACACTTATCGAAAAAAAAATTTAGAAATTGATAAAAACACCGTCACCCACCCACATTTGTCAGATTCTGGCCACCACCGTTGGAAGGTGGTCGGAATTTGGTATAATGGCGCACTACCGATTGGATCTGGCCGGTAGTGTATCGATCTATCATTTACCGCCAAATCCACCGTGGATTTGGTCAGAAAATGCTAGATATAGGGCTAAAGATCTGGTCGTTGTCTTCAATGACGGCCAAGAGATGGCCGTTGTTGATGGGATATGGTCGTCATTGACCATCAACGATAACCATCTCTTTGGCCATTATTGACAACCAACATGGCCAGATCTGACATTTTCCAGCCAGATCCACGGTGGATCTAGTTAGAAAAGGCCATCTCGCCGCACAACTGGCCATATCCAACCAATCGTGCGCCGAAACATCAGATTCCGACCAGATTCCTGGCAACTGTGCGTGATGGGGGTGTTTTTGTCATTTTATAAAAATTTTATATATTGGGGTGTTTAGTTAAATTAGCAAACCTAGAGGGTTTTTTGGTTAATTTTTTAAATTCAACCTCGCAATAATCACCCAACTCTACCTAGTAATAATATTTCAAAAGAATTATGCTACACTTACAAAGAAATCTTACAAAAATCTTCATACAAAGTGATGTAGCAAAAAATGAATGGAAGAGTGAATATAATGAGTTTGACTTTTTATTTGACTTTTCTATTTATTTTTTATCACCTCACTTGATATGAAAATCCTTATAAGATTTCTTTGTAAGTATAATATTATTAATTTTAAAAATACTACTCAAAATAATAAAACAAACATACAACTACTGATGGCAATGGGCCGGGCCGAGACCGGGTACCCCTTAGCCCAGGCCCAAGCCCGACCTCATGACACAGGCCCAAGCCCGGCCTGAGCCCGCTACGGGTATGATAGGCAAAGCCCAAGCCCGGCCCGACGGGTTTTTTATAACCGCAGGCCCGGCCCAAGCCTGCCTTTTTTAATAATGTTTATTTTTAAATATTAATAAATTTCAAATTTTTTTATATTTTTAATTTTAGAAATAGTTTTTAAATATTAATTGAAGCTATTTCCACAAATAATTTAAGCAATAAGCGAGCAATTAAAACTCCATAATAGTTGATTATACTAACTTTTCAGCTGTGCATAATATGTTATGGTGAAATCCACTTTAATAAGTTGAACTAAACCATCTAACTCATTTAAGGCAATTTAACATGTTAAACCTTTAATATGGATGAAAATTGAGGTTAGGGTTGGGAAAAATGGATATATATATATATATATTATATATATATATATATATATATATATTATTAATATATATATATTATATATATATAATATTATATAGGATAATATTGTAATTAAATATAGTATAAGGGTAAATTAGTAAAATAATACTAAATTTGCGGGGGGGGGCCGGGCCGGGCCGGGCCTAAAGATATACCCATGCCCGGCCCGTACCCGAGGTCGGGCCTCAAAATCAAGCCCAGCCCGCCAACCTCAGGTAAACCCGCTCTTTCGGGCCGGGCCGGGCCGGGTACCCAAATGTCGGACCCATTGCCATCTCTACATACAACACTATTAGTTACGGTACTTCTATCAACACTTGACGGATGCGTAAATTGTTATTTGAGAAACTTGAAAGGGAAAATTTTAATTTAGAAACCTTAGGGGAAAATACAACTCTTTTAAAATGTTAGTAACAGACAAACCTGTGACGAAACGCCCGTTTTGATTGAAAGGGGGTTCCGCCGCCAATTACCAGGCGTACTTTAATGCTCCACCGCTCTCCACAAAACTTAAACAACTCAAACACTCCACTTCACTCCCACCAACACTTCTTCTCTTTCAACTCAACAACAAGCGACAATGCCTCAAGGTTCTCTCTCAATCTCTCTCCAATTCCATTTGTTTCCCTTTTTTTTTTTTCCCTAATTTGCTTTGTAGTATTATTTATTCAATTATTTGTTGCAGACCTTCCTGGGTTCTATTATGATGCCGAGAAGAACCGGTACTTCCCCATCAAAGGTCCCATTCCCGGCACTTCTCGTCCTCGAATTCCTTCTGCTTCATCTCAGAACCCACTTTCAAACTCTACCCAGGTACTTTTTTTTTTCCTTTTTGAGATTTTGGGTTGATTGTGAAGCAGTGACTTCACATTTTTGATAAATTTTATGAGGTTTTAGATGGGTGTTTACGAGATTTGGAAGATTTCGAAATCTGAGGAGGGTTTTTTGCCTGTTTCTCAAATTTGAGTTTGCAGATATTTAGGTTAAAATTTAGGGGGTTTAAAAATTCAGTGGTATTTTAGCTGATTATAAGGTAAAATTTTAAACTTTAGATGGGTGTTTAGTTTATGAAGATTCTGAAAATTCTGAGGTCTGCATTTCAAGTTATTGTTTGCAAATAATTAGGTCAGCATTCAGGGTATTCAAACCATAGACAGTTACTTGATTTTAAAGTTTCATTGAGAGTTTGAGCTGTTTACAAGCTTAATTGAAGTGGGTAAGAGGCAGTGACCACACATTACTGATTAAGTTTGAAACTTTAGATGAGTGTTGAAGGGTTTATCAAGATTTTGAGAATCCAGAGAAGTGTTATTGTCTATTTTTCGAGTTAGGATTTTCATGTAATTAGGTCAAATTTGGAGCTGATTACTTGTGTACAGCTGAAGTGGGTAATAAACAGAGAATTCCTTTTTGTGATAAAGAAATAACTTCAGATGCATGTTGAAAAGTTTATGAAGATGATGAGAAGTCAGTTAACAATTCCGTCTTTTTTTCAAGTTAGGCTTTGCATGTGTGATCATATGTTGTCGATTACATATGCTTTTACTCTTTTGGTATATGTTACTGGTTGTTTAAATTATGTTTCAAATGCGTTTGGTAGCTTTGTTGGGGAATATTTGCTATTATCATAAAAAAATGCTCTAAATTCATTTGTGAGTTTAACTGTTTCAGTTAATGGGTCTCATTTTATGTGATCATGACCAAGGGAAAGGTGATCACTGATGTTTTTTAGATTAGAAGATATGACTATGTTAGGTGAATTAGTGAATTGTTAGATAGAGGTGAATTTCAAGTTGTGGGAACTCAATGGTCTCTTTTTTTTAACTATACTAAGTTGAGGGTTATGCATCTACATGCTGACCACATACTAATTGTTACCATAATTTGGTGCCTTGTATAAGCACTTGATCTTTCAATAGAGCAAAAATTTGATTTTGTTTTGGAGATGTACTTGGATATTTGATTTTTCCTTGAGAAAGACAGGAAGATGCTTTAATTTGTTTGTTTAATCTTGTCTGTTGGTTTTAAAAAAGTTACTTAAGCTGTTAAAAATTATGTTCATTTTGCTTTTAAAAAAAGTTCTTGCTTTTGAATATGTTACTATGGCTATGTTATTAGTTCTTTTCTTTAGGTTCAGTCATCGATTTCTGTTACAAAGTCCTAGATTTAGTTTCTTCGTTCACTGCAGCCAGCCAAGTCACTTCGGACTGGTGAAAGAACTTCGAAATTGCTTCAGGTCAGGGAGTTGAATGGTAATGTTCTGTCTCTCACTAAAGGGAAGCGTAAGTTTAAGGAGGAATTTCAAAAGAAACTAGTTTCACAACCTGTGGTAAGTTTATTGACTTTGATCTTGTGATTTTGTAAGTTACTGCTTTTCTTTTTGATTGACTTAAGTCCCGTATAGTTCTCACATTCAAATCTAAGGGGTTGGTTGTGATGAAGTTATTTTGTCGGACTATGGGAAAATTTTTTGTGACAAATATGTATTGTGTGTTCACATATTTTGAGTGGAATGATGTAAATACACGACTTTTGAGTATTTATAATTTTTAAGGTCTTACTGGGAATGGGAATTTTTCTTTTTCAACATTTTTGGTGAATATTGTGGTAACCTTTCTCTATCAAAATCATCTTATTGTTTTTATTAAATTTCATGCAATTTAGGTTCTCAAGTATCAAGGAACAAGACATAGAGCTGATGCTGCTTTACAGCCGATACATGTTAAATTAAACACATCTACGGGTCAAAGGGAAATTGACGCTGTATTAGCAGGCAGTATAAATGGCACTTTGAGGTATATATAAAGTTGTAATCTGATGAATTTGTTATTGCCTCCTCTGAAATAAATGCAAGACCTTCAAAATGTTCTTAATGGTTGATAATTTTATTGTCACATAGTTTCCTGTAATCATTATTTGAGTTGGAATATAATGTGTAAGGGATTGGATAATTTGCTCTCCATGAGTTCATTAATTGGTGATTGGACAGACTCCCTCTATTGTCTTTCTCCATGTCTCTCCGTGTGTGCGCATCTTTCTTTTCAAATAACCAAGAATAACTGAACTTGTTATTTTTTAATAGGCCATGTACCTCTAAGGCTCACAAATATATAGGTGAGAATTGAGTGATTGATGAAGGCCAAGTTCTTGGGAGATTGAGAGAAACAAAAGAATATATGAAGATAATAGAGGGATGATCTTCCTCTCTTGTGGACAATGTTAAATTTTGGGCCTTCTTGTGGGCCTCTCTTTCTTAAAAAGTTAAGAGATATTTCCTTTTCCTTCCTTTTTAATTGGGAAGTGATGATCTCCTAACCTTATACTTTTCTTTGTGATTAATTTTCAAGTCTTTAGTTAGGCCTTTAGTGGATAGCTAGTGCCCATATGTGTATAATCTACAATCTCTGTTTTTAATAATATACTTTGTTTCCTAAAAGGAAAATCATGTCTGAATTCCAGTAAATTTTGGGTTGAAAGTGTTTGACCTAAACTACCTCTTTTTATATAACACGGATATTTAGTAAGCTTCTTGTTGTTGCTATAACATTGTTATTGTTCATAATAGCACTATGAAATGATGTTTGCATCTGACTTCTCATCCCTTACTTTAAGTTTTTATTGTTGATATGGTTCTTTGAGATATTTACACTGCCTTTAACTGTTCATCACAACCTATTGCTTTTGAAGTTTGGTGCTCTCGCAGTTTGTTTGGAGTTGGAAAAGTTGGACAACATTTTGATACTGGAATAAATTTCCTTCCAGATCGTGTGGGGCCTCGTGTTAAAGAAAACAAAGCAGAAAGTTATAAAGAAGCTGAGCATATTTGGATACCTGAAGGAGCTTCAATACTAATGTCATCTCGTGTATCTTCTATAAAATTGCCTAGAAAGTACTCTTCTTGTGAACTGGATGATGGTTTTAACTGCCGGCGTACAGTGTATCCTTTTGCAACTTCAGATTTTCATTAACTCTTCTGTATATTTCTTCATATATAACAAATTTCAGCTTGTTTTTTTTAGTAATTAATAGCTTTTCTTTGCACTTGATGGAAATAAAAAATGTTTCTCGGTACTGTTAAACTTTATCTTGTGTCATTTGTCCAGGTTCCTGAACCAGTTAGGGATCTCTTGGTCAGTGTCTTTATGCTTGCGGATCTATTATTGGTTTGAGTAGAATGTGGGCCCTACTTTCCTGGTAGTGATCCTGGAGCTTGTCTTCATTGGATTTATTAGGAAGACGAAACCAGTGTCTGATTGTTTATGCGATAGATGGTGCAGAAGCCTTCCTTGGATTGGTGGCATTTATATTTTCTCTTTTACAACCTTTTGGTCTTTAGAAGTTTAGTTATGCATTGTGACACAGCCACCAATTTTAATGTGGTCTTCGTTAGTTGTCTCATAAATAATTTCTTTCTTTGCCTTAACATAAGGAAACAGGGTAACTACTTTGGGATCGGGGACACCTGGTGGAGCTATATATGTTCTTAGTCTTGATGATCCATTTGAATTTCCCCCTGGGCTTTTTTCCATTAGGCAGAGGATGACTTCAGTTGCTTCTTTCAATTGTACCATATGGACTGCAGATTGCAACTCTAGTGCGAGCGAAGCAGTTGTTGGCAAGTTTTTTTTTTTTTCAATATTATTTTTTGTTTTCTGTTTTTGTTTCATTGTACTATTTTACTTCCTGAATTTACTTTGATATTCTCTTCTATTTACTACTGCTTTTTCAGTCTTCTGATTTTAATAGTTGAATTCATGTATTTAAGTTAGCCTACTTAGATTTCGATATATAGACTCTGACTTGTATCTTAAGCTTTATTAATGTAAATTCAGGAAGTAGACAGACTTTTCTTTGAGTGAGTTAGGATCTTGAAGTTCAGTAAGGTTTTAATTTGTTGGGAATAATTACAATTTATAAAAGTTGCAGAGTGTAAAAGAAAAGACAATGATGGTTATCTTGCCCTTGAATTTTTTTCAGGTATATTTAATGTTCAGAGATTTATATGTTTTCTTTGATCTTTTGTTTGCTGTAGGAACCAATCGTGGTGCTGCTATGGTCAATTTGGAAACAGGGTCAACATCATGGGTGTGCTGTGGTAAAAGTGATGTTTTTGCACAACAACTTAATGAGTCGGTAACTTTTACATCATTTAAGGATCTCTTAAATCATTCAAGGTTCTCTAGACTCGTGTAGTTTGCTTGATCATCCCAGATCTATCTATACTTGGATTCTTTAGGTCTATATTAGCTAGCATGTGTTTTTTAGTTTTGCCTGTATTTTATTTTTTACTTTTCTGTTTCTAATTGTAGACATTATATCATTCGTGTATGGAAATTTATCATGCCAACATGAAGATATCCATATATTCTGTGCTAGTTTTCAGTGTTGTGTATGGTTAATATGTTTTTGCATTTCAAAGTGCTCCAATTGTTTGGCAATCTTAATTACATGGATATGGTTCTTGAGTTATTTTTATTTTCTTTTAATTAAGCTGACCATCTTCTAGTAGTTCTTGAAATTGAGTTAATTATTTCTTGTTGCAGGGCAAGGTCATTTTATGCGGACTTAGAAATGGAGCAATTGTGACAGTTGATGTTCGTGAGAGACCACAAGGGTCTGCTAGAAGACTTATTAGACACCGGATACCTTACTCACCTTTGAGAAAAACTGTTCAAAATTCTAATAAACAATGGTTTGAGGTATGAATGATCGTTTAATGTGATGAATTTTACCCATTATTTTTACAGAGTGACCACCCTTGCCATCATTCCAAGAGTATACTGTGCTGTTGGCAAGTCACAGTGGTGGTCCTACCCCTGTTTGTCTGGCATGTTGAGTAATTGAGTCACTATAGCATGTGGTCCCTTGGATTGTTCTTTTGAATCGAATGGCCTTGCCTACTTGGGTCTCTTTCATTGCTCTGAATCAAAGGGCTTCTCTGGTAATTGGCTTCATTTGGGTGACCACCCTTATGCATGGACACCTTTTGTGGTCATCCACTATTACTGATTTCTGGAAAAGTGATTTCTCTTCTTTACTTTTATATAGAAACTCCTCTTAATTCAAGCATGTAGTTGCAGGGTAAGGTCTGCCAAAGTTTTTGCTGTTTTCTATTATTTTTCCTTTGATTTTGTTTGTCTGATTTTATGTAACCTATTTGGATCATTAATGCGATAATTTTTTAACATGAACATCTGCCTGGAGCTGCAATTTTTGGTCAAACCTAGAATAATAGATCCAAAACTCTTGTTTTGCAGCTGAGTGGAAACATTTGTCCTTCACGCACTGCTTTTATGCCTTCGTCTATTACCAGGTAGTTGACTTTTACAACATTTAATTAACTTGTGACTTTCAATTTTAATTTCTTTGTTTTTGAAATTGTAGTTTGGTATCATTACGTTTCTACGATCAATACTTCTTGGCAAGTGCAATGGATGGATCGGTTAGTGTTCATTCTTCATTTGCGCTCCTTTTTGGATACTTGCTGACTCTGCATATTCCTCCATTGTATTTAACAAAGTCACATTACATGACATTAATTAGATTTTTAATGTTGTGGCTCCATTCCCATCAAAGTATTTTTCTGATAGAAATTCTTTTTCCAATGAACTACACTTTAAACCAGTCCTAATCTAGGACGTATCTTTGTATCTTCTCTTTATTTCTAATTTTCTTATTTCACTGTCTCTCTCTTTTCTTTTCTTCCCCTCTATAAAACAAATTGATACTAGGTCTTCGGTATAGAACCTCAAGACTTGGCCATTTAGATGAGGCATAAGCTTTAATTGAATAGCAAGATGTTTTGTTGGTTAATTTGCCATTGTTTTCTTGATGATACTTTTAAAAAGGTATTATGTTGTAGCAGACTTGAAATTGATATCTGCTATAACATAAAAGAATATGGCCTGTCAATTAGCTTCATTGGTCTCTTTGAACTTTAAATTGTTAAATATTATCTGTCATGGATTTGTTAGTTTCAGATTAAAATTATCATGTTGATAGAACTTAAGGGGACATCCTCTCTGTTACTATAATACCTCTAGATGTATCTAAATTTAGTTTATTTAATCGTTCAATCAACTAATTTTTCCGAAATCTTTCTTCCCATAGTCGAGGAGAAATTTATTCTTTTGCCTGTAACCGTGTAATGCTTAATGAACTGTCTGAACTTTTCTTGTGGATCATTGAGGAATCTTGCTTTATTAACCTGTGTAATTAACGAAGACTGATACGATAGGAGAAATTATGTAAAGCACCCTTCATAAGTGGGCTTTAATGTTCTTTTCACAGGTTATGCTTTATGATCATCGCCTAAGTAAGAGAGGGCCCATACAATCATATGAAGGGCATGCTAATTCTCACACTCTGTTACAGCTTGCAGTAGACCAATCTGAGAGATTTGTTATGGCAGGTTTGAAACATGTTAAATCACATATTTTTTGTTTTGTTTTAACCAGTCACAAAAATTAGAACTCTCAAATATGATGTCGTAGGTGGAGAGGACTGCAACTTACGTATTTGGAGTATCAAATCTGGAGAACTGCTCTTTCAAGAAAAGGTTTCTGATTCAGCCCCATCTACTGTGAGCTGGCGACTAGTCGAAAGTAAATTTACTCAGCCTCTCATTTATTATGTGTCATCTTTTTCGTTATTTATTTTTTAGTGTTCTGCCTGATTCCATGGAGGGAAAGGATTTTGATAAATCTATGAAACTTCGGTACAATGATTTTAAAGTCAACTCATAAATTATATATGCACAGTGGACAGCTTGATTGCATCTTTGTATTTATGTTTCTTATCAAAAACAAGGAGACTATCATAATTTCTGGGAAGATTTATAACGAAATTTGTAATGATAAAGTATATCTGTATTTCAACAATGTCCGGATACTATTTGACTTGCTTTTTCTTACCTTCATAATAATTTCATGTTCATCTTCCCTGCAGGGCCTCTTGGAAATCCAGACGAAAAGCAAAGCCAAAATGAGCTTCAGTTTGCGGAGAGCCTTAGATGGGAAGCTTGGTTTGGATCAGTGGATGGACTGTACCACATGGGTTGGCCTTGATTCTTCCATTATCTTCAAGTAACAATTATAAACTAAAAAGCGTGCAGTTAGTCTTCAACTGGTGTTGCAAAGCAAGAAATTAAATTTATTTTTTTTAACTTTTTCGATAATCCTAAAATCCGCTGATCATACTGAAGCTCCCACTGAACCCCAAAATCTATGGGAAGTAGGAAACAATAGATTCTCACTTTGTATAAAATAAGAGATTTTTGGTTATGTCGTTGCCTGGATTCTCATTCTGTAGAAAGTGTTTATAGGCTGAAAAATTAGGCTATGCATAAGGTGAAACTTTTGATTTCTATTTTTAATATTTGAAAATATGTTTGATGTAATATTGTAGACTGTGTTAATATTATTCACAAGTTTTATATTACATATATACGATTTTACAAGTTTTACGTTAATGTATCAGTTTTATTTTGTACCATAGGTATTTGTATATACTTTTATAGTTTTATATGGATAATTACTGATATCTAACATTGAAATTGACTAACAAAAATTAAAAATTGGAATAAACATTTGGTAGGGTAACAAGACAATCATTATTATGAATTTATGAGGGACAAAATGTGGATTCATCTCAATCTTCATAGCTCTTGGAATGGATGTTTGATTTGACATATATTTGACTTGGTTCTTGTTTTGTTTCAATACATGATATAAATATTTGCCTTCAGATAATTACAAACAAATTGCATTCAAAGAGATATCTAAGTATATCCTTTATGTATTATTGTAGTTTAGCAAGAAATAGTTTTGAGTTCATATGTTTATATGTAATGGAGTGGGTGAAGAGGAGTATTTGCGATTTAAGTGAGGGATTGAGATGGTGAATTGTTGCGTTAGTCTTCCTCCGAAGATCAGTTGAGATACATGTAAGTTGGCTCGAATAATTTGGTTACCAAAAAAAAAAAAAAGTGGATGAAGAGAATATTTTTATTTTATATAATTAAGCTATTTGTTTGTAATTATATATTTTTTAAATGAATTCTATTATAAAGGGAGACTAAAAGGTGCTACCCTTTTTTTTTTACATAAGTTATGATACGATAATTGTGATATAATTTTTAATTAAGAAATATTTTGTTTCAAATAGTTTCAAGGGTAGAGTTGATTTTTTTTTTCATCTTATTAGAGTTATGTATCTCCGAATTCATAGACCAAATTATCATCCCTATTCAAGGGTAGTACAACCTCATCCTTAAAAAGATGTCCCATTTTTTGTTAAAATACAATTTTGAAATTACATATTTGTCCTTGTTAAATTAAAAAAAAAAAAAAAAAAAAAGGGAGGCTATTAAGGAATGGAATTATACAAGGGACATTTAGCATCACTTAGGAAAAATATGATGTACCCTAAAAATGACTAGAAAAGTTATAATTCCAAATTGAGTTCCATAATCATATGATTTATTTTATTTTAATTTCTTCTATTTTTATGTTTACTATTTTTAAGCACAGAATAAATTTCTCATCACTTGAATCTCAAAAGAAAGAAATTACATGGTGAGCATGGATGACAAATGTCAAAAATGTAATCTATCAAATCAACCCAAAAGTATTGAATTAATTTTTATTTAATCCAAGAAAACATTGCTCATTACAACTTCACTTTTAGTAAAGATAAAAAGCTTATTCTGAAAGCACTTTTATCAAAAGAGACAACTACCACTACTAGCTACTTCTTTCTCTTTCTCAATGCCTTGACTATGTTGCTCTAGTCAAGACTCAATAGTGTTGTAAACTTTTCAAGTTATGGGTTCTGTCCTCTCCATCCTTTCATATAAATTTATGGATAAAAAAACATAGACAAAGAGTAAAAAATTTAATAAAAAAGTCAATTTAATAAATAATGTTTACATCTGTTGGAATTTGGAGGAGTAAAAAATAAAATAAAGAACAGTAATATGCGCAAGAATATCACACACATATAAATACGATATTTATGTGGTTCGGTATAACTTGCTTACATGCATAGATCAGAGAAATCTACTATAAATTTATAAACATGATACAAGAGTGTATAACACCATCAACCTATAAGGCGGGAGCTCTACCGTTTGGTGTTTTATAAGCATAACACCATCAACTCATTACATAGACGGACATTCCATTCCTATAGTGTTTAATACCCCTTCTCTCATCTTCTCATTCCCTCTTTCACATAGTTTCTCTTATAATTATGAATTGGCTCTAACCCTTATATTTACAGATAGTATATAAGATATCTAAATTCTAATAGGATTCATATTTCTAATCCTAATAGAACTCCCATATTTAATCTTCAATTCCTACTTTAACTCAAAGTAAAGTCTTAAACCAATTATTCTTCCCTAATTCAACTCACAGTAAAAAGAAAACAATAATTCCAAAACTCGAACTCCTAAAACATGAATTTAACTCAAACTCTATATCTTCATCAACTACTAAAAAGTGTTCACATTTTTATAACATCAGGGTTATTTGTATGCATACAACATGTATTTGATTAAATATAAAGAAAGGTTAACTTCGCTCATTATATTTGATATTTGCTTATATTTCATGTTCATAAGTTTATGTGAATTTAGAAAAAGAAACTATGGAAATAAAGCTATATAAGGGTGATATAACATTACAATCCCAAAATGTTGCCAAAATTTATCAAGATCTCTCTTGTAGAGGAGATCTTTTCTGGGTAATTCCAATTTGGATCTCAACTAATGTGGTTGTTGATGTGCTAATATTACACTAATTATGCAAAAGTATACATTTTATCACATCAACCTATAATTAATGTAATACTAAAACACCGGTTACATCATCAGTTAGGAGAAAATCTTATGTACGTTATGTTGCAATAAACTCGTCAATAAGAAAGTAAGTATGTTCTACTTGTACAAATGTAATATATTCTTTTTGACTGATTATATTGCAACAAGTTGCACGGTGTATCAAATGCTTTTTTTTTTTTTTTAATTTAATATAATAATAATATTATTATTGTTTTTATCCTTTTTATATTTTTCAAACCTTCTATAATTAAATTTTCTTTACCGCCCATATCTTATAATATGTCGAGTATCATATACATGTGACATGGAAATAAAAGTCGTATATATATTTGTAATGTCAATATCACCTTATAACTTGTAGCATATTTATAACATAAAAGCAAGATGATTACAAGTCTCATGTTGTCAACACATACTATTATAGGAAAATGTATCATCACAAAACCCTAAGTTTTCTGGTACTGTCTTTTCATGCATGGGACCAAGCTTCGTTGAGTGATTGGTACAAAAGTCTCTTAATTTAAAGTGATGTATACAACTCTTTCAAAGAATCAAAAGTGAAGCAAAATCATGCTTTAATTTGATTGCCAAAAGCAAGTCACGTAAATTGATAAGTTCGTCGATCTTCAACTCCAAGACAAATCAAATATATTAAAATTCATATATGTTGTCTAATTTGGGTCTTTGTCTTGACTTAAACTTAACTTTATGTAAAGTTATTAGAATGATGAAAAGTAATGGAATAATATACTTTACAAATATCTTGTTACTATTACATGTTCAAAATGATTTAAACACACACACACAATGTTATTTGTAAACGGTGACATTACCGTTTACTGTAATCTTATATTGATTGAAGTAAGGGCAGTCTTTTCAAAGTTGCATTTTAACTGAAGGTGTTGCCTTCTGACGTTAACGTTTTTTTTATTGTATAAGAAGACTTATAGCTTAACTGTAACCCTTGGATCAAAGATAGAATTACCCTTGTACAATTAACCTTGATACAAAAACCGCTAATTGGGGTATTGACTCTTGTAATTGTAATAATTTTTTACAGTCTAATTGCAATTTTTCGGATCAAAGCTAGAGTAACCATGATACTATCACGCATTGATTCAAAAATTGTTATTTGCATGTAACTTTAAATAACATTACTCTTTAGGGCCCGTTTGGATCAGGTTGAAATTTTTTAACAAGAATTCATAGACCAAATTATCATCCCTATTCAAGGGTAGTACAACCTCATCCTTAAAAAGATGTCCCATTTTTTGTTAAAATACAATTTTGAAATTACATATTTGTCCTTGTTAAATTAAAAAAAAAAAAAAAAAAAAAAGGGAGGCTATTAAGGAATGGAATTATACAAGGGACATTTAGCATCACTTAGGAAAAATATGATGTACCCTAAAAATGACTAGAAAAGTTATAATTCCAAATTGAGTTCCATAATCATATGATTTATTTTATTTTAATTTCTTCTATTTTTATGTTTACTATTTTTAAGCACAGAATAAATTTCTCATCACTTGAATCTCAAAAGAAAGAAATTACATGGTGAGCATGGATGACAAATGTCAAAAATGTAATCTATCAAATCAACCCAAAAGTATTGAATTAATTTTTATTTAATCCAAGAAAACATTGCTCATTACAACTTCACTTTTAGTAAAGATAAAAAGCTTATTCTGAAAGCACTTTTATCAAAAGAGACAACTACCACTACTAGCTACTTCTTTCTCTTTCTCAATGCCTTGACTATGTTGCTCTAGTCAAGACTCAATAGTGTTGTAAACTTTTCAAGTTATGGGTTCTGTCCTCTCCATCCTTTCATATAAATTTATGGATAAAAAAAAAATAGACAAAGAGTAAAAAATTTAATAAAAAAGTCAATTTAATAAATAATGTTTACATCTGTTGGAATTTGGAGGAGTAAAAAATAAAATAAAGAACAGTAATATGCGCAAGAATATCACACACATATAAATACGATATTTATGTGGTTCGGTATAACTTGCTTACATGCATAGATCAGAGAAATCTACTATAAATTTATAAACATGATACAAGAGTGTATAACACCATCAACCTATAAGGCGGGAGCTCTACCGTTTGGTGTTTTATAAGCATAACACCATCAACTCATTACATAGACGGACATTCCATTCCTATAGTGTTTAATACCCCTTCTCTCATCTTCTCATTCCCTCTTTCACATAGTTTCTCTTATAATTATGAATTGGCTCTAACCCTTATATTTACAGATAGTATATAAGATATCTAAATTCTAATAGGATTCATATTTCTAATCCTAATAGAACTCCCATATTTAATCTTCAATTCCTACTTTAACTCAAAGTAAAGTCTTAAACCAATTATTCTTCCCTAATTCAACTCACAGTAAAAAGAAAACAATAATTCCAAAACTCGAACTCCTAAAACATGAATTTAACTCAAACTCTATATCTTCATCAACTACTAAAAAGTGTTCACATTTTTATAACATCAGGGTTATTTGTATGCATACAACATGTATTTGATTAAATATAAAGAAAGGTTAACTTCGCTCATTATATTTGATATTTGCTTATATTTCATGTTCATAAGTTTATGTGAATTTAGAAAAA